GTTGGACTTCATCCAAATTAAAGCTTTTGTGCATCAAAGGACACTATCAAGAAAGTGAAAAGATAACCTATCAAGAGATTAAGAAGACAAGCCACAGAGTAGTAGAAAATAGTTGCAAAAGATGTATCTGATTAAGGACTATTATAGAAGTTTACAAAGAACTCTTAAAACTCAGCAATAAGAAATGAACAACTCGATTTAAAAAATGGGCCAAAGACCTTAACAGACACCTCACCAAAGAAGATATACAGATGGCAAATAAGCAAACGAAAAGATGTTCCACATTATATCTAATTAGGGAACTGCAAACTAAAACAATAAGATGCCACTACACAGATATTAGAATGGCCAAAATCCACAACACACTACACCAGCTGCTGGTGAGGATGTGCAGCAACAGGAATCCCCGTTCACTGCTGGTGGGAATGCAGAATGGCACAGCCACTTTGTAAGACAGCTTGGCAGTTTCTTAGAAAACTGAACGTACTCTTACCTTATGATCCAGCAATAGTGTTCTTCGATGTTTACTCAAATGAGTTGAAAACTTATGTCCATACAAAAACTTGCACATGAATGTTTATAGCAGCTTTATTTGTAGTTGCCAAAACTTGGAAGCAACCAAGATGTCCTTCAGCAAATGAATGGATAAATAAACTATGGTACATGCAGACAGTGGAGTATTATTTAGTGCTAAAAAGAAATGAGCTATCAAGCCATGAAAAGACACGGGGAAACCTTAAATACATAATACTAAGTGAAAGAAGATAATTTGAATAAGCTACATACTGTATGATTCCAACTATATGACATTCTGGGAAAAGGCAAAACTATGGAGACAGTAAAAGAATCAATAGTTGACTGGGGCTGGGGAGGAGAGAAGGGTGAATAGGCGAGCGCAGATGATTTTAAGGGTAGTGAAAATGATTCAGTATAATACTATAATGGTGGATACCTGTCATAATACATTTTTCCAAACCTATGGAATATACAATACCAAGAGTGAATGCTAAGGTAAACCATGAACTTTGGGTGATAATGATGTGTCCATGTGGGTCCATCGATTATAACAAATGAACCGCTTTGGTGTGGGTTGTTGATAGTAGGGGATGCTGTGCTTGTGTTGGAGCAGGGTGTATATGAAAACTCTCTATATTGTCCGTTTATTTTTGCTATGAACCAAAAACTCCTCTAAATTATAAAGTCTATAAAAAAAAAAAGATGACAGACAACCCACAGATTCAGAGAAAATATTTACAAATCGTATATCTGATAGGAGTCTAGCATCCACAATATATAAAGGATTCTTAGAACTCAACAACAAGAAGACAACAGCTCAGTTTTTTAAAGTGGGCAAAGAATTTGAACAGACATTTCTCCAAAGAAGATACATGGTCAAAAAGCATGTGAAAAGGTGCTCAACATCATTTGTTATTAGGGAACTGCAAATCAAAAGCACGGGATGGTTCCCACCCCTAGGATGGCTATAATTTTTATAAAAATAAAAACAGGTGTTGGCAGTGAGGATGAAGAGAAGTCTCATGCATTGCTGTGGGAATGTAAAGTGATGTAGCCACTGTGGGAAATAGTTTGGCAGTTCCTCAAAACATTAAACACAGATTTACCATATGACTACTCCTAGGTATATATACAAGGGAATTGAAAACATGTTCACACAGAATCTTGTAGATGGATGTTCATAGCTGCGTTATTCATAATAGCTAAAAAGTGGAAACAATCCAAATATTCATTGATTGATGAATGGGTAAAGAAAATGTATATCCATAGAATGTGATATTATTCAATCATAAAAAGGAATGAAGTACTAAGACATCGTGCAACGTGGATGATTCATGAAACCAGTATGCTAAATGAAAGAAGGCAGACTCAGAATGGCACAGACTGTACAATTCTGTTTACGTGAAATGTCCAGAATAGGTAAAACCATAGAGACAGAAAATAGGTGAGTGGTTGCCAGGCGCTGGGGTAAGAGAGGGTAGACTGACAACTGGTACAAGGTTTCTTTTAGGGGTTATGAAGATGTTCTGGAATTAAATAGTGGTGACCGATCAATAACCTTGTGAATATACTAAAATGAATATACTAATAGACTGGAAACTACTGAATTTTACACTTTAAAAGGATGAACTTTAGGCCCGCCACTGCTGACAGGAGGACCACTGACCGCAAGGTCCCCCCGCACCTTTGGGTGTGCAGACCCCCCTGGGGCATTGGAGCACAAGTGAGGGTGGCACCAACAAGCTGCAGAGTCTTTACAGGAGACCTCAGAGACTAGGACTTGACCTTCAGGTGCTTCAAGCCCCTTAGAGTGCCAGTTTTGTTAGTACTGGAATAGCACAACCACGTTTTGGAATAGTCTCAAGATGCTTCTTACTGGAGGGAAATCAAGTCGTAAAAACAGATCAAGTGATGGACGGAACGAGGAGCCACCAGATGGAAGACACTCAAGTGTAGACTCTTGCCAAAGCCACTCTGGCAAGATGGCATCTCCACAGAAAGTGTCTTTGTGGGGCTGGCCCGGAGGTGCAGCAGTTAAGTGCGCACGTTCCACTTCGGCGGCCCAGTGTTCGCTTGTTCAGATCCCGGGTGCCAACATGGCACCACTTGGCACGCCATGCTGTGGTAGGCATCCCACATATAAAAAGTAGCTGAAGCTGGGCATGGATGTTAGCTCAGGGCAAGTCTTCCTCAGCGAAAAGAGGAGGATTGGCAGCAGTTAGTTCAGGGCTAATCTTCCTCAAAAAAAAAAGAAGAAAGAAAGTGTCTTTGCTTTGGAGGCAGACACACCTCTTCCAGGGATTGAAACCTGTCTGAGGAAGACAAAGTGTGTTGAGAGTCCAGGAATTCCAGAATTGAGCTTGGCTCACCAACCTTCACCTCAGCTCAGAAACTGGATGTGGATGCATATTGCCGTGGTTTGCAAGTCAGGATGACTGTCAGGGAGGCTGATCTTTCACCTTCTGATTGCCCATCTTGACATCCTTAATCTAATGTGGCTATTGCTATTGTTAAGAAGCAAAGTAGCTGTTGTTTGTTGGAATGCCAGTGCTAAGTCACTATGAAAAATCGTATCCATGTTATTATTCATGTGTATTTTCCACAAGCATGTTCTTTGCTGTATTGGAATTGAACCAAAGTAAACCTCAGTTAAGATTTCTAGAAAGCCAGGAAGAAACTAAAACACGATGCCAAAAAGTTCATTGTCATCTGTAGTCTCTCCTTCTCATAACTGAAACAAGTGTAAAGCACAGAAACTTTGTAGTGATATCCTCTTTAATGAAGTTATTATGCTGTCTATAATAGCCACTGATGAAAGTTGACTGCGTTTATTTTTCTTTAGGGTCATACATGGTGACAGTCTATCATTCCTTCTTCATTCATTTGGTAGAATTCTTCTACCTAAATAGAAACTTCATGCTCATCCATTATTTGATAACCCTGAGGTACAGTTTGCAGAGGAAACGCAGGTCAGAGGTTGAGGGTTGAAGCTATTATCTTCCATATGGTAGCAAAAACTAACAGGAAACAAACAAATTGAGTACACTCATAAACAAATAAATAAATAAAAGCAAATAAATAAATAAAAGGGTGAATTTTATAGTATGTATACTATATATATACTCCTTGAAGGACTCCTTGAAGAGTGATTACAGATCTAGGGCAGGAAATGTACAGGACGAATGTAGAATATCTTGTCATACCAGAGAGTGATGAAGCTCTCCAGGATTACTAGGGTCATGTCAGAGAGATTCGGAAACCAGTTTGGAACTCCCACTGGCCAGAGAAGAAACAGTCTGAGCACCAGAAGGAATAACAGCCACAGTAGATTGAAGCACATCAAATATGCTTAAATCCAATAGTTTATAATGATACTTTTAAAAAAAGAAAAAACTCATTTGCCGTATTTGGATGATATTAGGAAATTAATTATTATTTGTTTTTTTATTATTTACCAATTAATTATTTTGGAAATTGGTAAAAAAAAAAAGGGGGGGAGATGGGGGTGTGAAGAACCAAACATATGATCTGCTTTTCCTCTACAAACTATGCCTCAGGGTTACCAAATAATTGATAAGAATGAAGTTTCTATTTAGGTAGAAGAATTCTACCAAATGAGTGAAAAAGAAATGATAGACGTCACCATGTATGACCCAGAAGAAATGATAAATGTGTACTCAGTGTTCATCAGTGGCTATTCATATCACAAGAAGGGTGACAACAGGTATCATGTCCCTCATGATAGGCCACTATCTAAAAATCTTCCTATCAAGAAACCCAAAAACACCTAAATCTGATTATGCCTCTATATCTAATTGCCAATCTATTGGAAATACCTACAGTACTTCCCATATGTTTGGGTCAGAGGAACATGTTAAATGACACCACGTGGATGTAATCCAGAAAATCTAGATTGGGGAAGCCACAGGCCAAATGACCTGGTTTCTTCAACTAATGAATTACAAAATAAAACAGGAGGCAAAATAGAACATTAATAACATAAATTGGTGTGGTATTGATTGGAGTTTAGAAGTTCCGGGGACCTTGTGTTGTTTGGGAGAAGAGTAAAAATACTGATACACTTCAGTTTCTAGGTTAAATATACTCAATAAAATTCTTACCAACCACTAAAAAAATAGAGTGTATGATTTCCAAGCCAGGAAAGGGGGATAAAAGAAAGACGGAGAAAGCCGTCAATTAAGAATAAAAGAAACATTGAAAAGGTAGGACACGAAGAAGCTGTAAAATAAGATTATAAATATAAATCCAGTTATATCCTTCTCAGTAAGTATAAATGGACTTAAATTTCACAAAGTTGAAGATTGATAGCCTGGAAAAGAAAATCCAGCACACGTTGTTCACGTGAGACACATCTAAAACTTATTACAGAATGGTTCAAAGTAAAAGAATGAAAAGAGTAGAGTTGGGAAGCCAATCTTTCTCTCTGAAGAGAGCATGAAGAATTTATTTTGTTCTCTTTTCAGGTTAAAGAAAAAGGAGTTTAGTTTAGAAGAAATATATACCAACAAGAATTATAAGTCTCCTCCTGCAAACAGGTAGGTACATATATGAGTAGGAAATAGTAAATTAGGAGGGCTTCTGAAATGATCGATGTCAGTCTCCAATCCTTCACTTCAGAAAGGGGTTTATGTGCAGTTCTTCTAATATCGAGTCTTGGAAATAACTAGAATGGATATTTTTAGTTCCCAACACTTGAACTGAGGTTGGTGGAAGGATGGAAAAGAATCGTGTGTTGGGTTAGGTAGATACAGAAAATGTACTCTCCTTTTACTTTGTACTTACGTTTTTAGCAAGTGTGCTGGCTCTCGTCTTCAGGACTAATAATCATTGATCGTCAGTTATGATTTCAAACCCAAATACAGAAAGAATTTCACTTGCCTACTTTGGATCAGAATTCAGTTCAAGTTATTGAACATTCATTAAATTCCTGTTGTGTCTAGGACGCAGCACGAGAGTTCTAGGATTTTATCCTACAAGAGAAACGTTTGCCCTAAGACGTTTGTACAAGACTATTCATTGCAGCATTGCCAAATAACAGGAAAGGATTGGAAACAACTTAAAATATCCATTAATAGGGTTCTGATTAAATTGTGATCCATCCTCATAATGGAATACCCTGAATAGCTATTAAAAAGAATGAATAAGGGGCCGGCCCAGTGGCGCAGTGGTTAAGTTGGCACATTCCGCTTTGACGGCCCAGGGTTCGCCACTTGGGATCCTGGGTGCAGATATGGCACTGCTTGGCAAACCATGCTGTGGCAGGCATCCCACATATAAAGTGGAGGAATATGGGCATGGATGTTAGCTCAGGGCCAGTCTTTCTCAGCAAAAAGAGGAGGATTGTTGGCGGATTTAGCTCAGGGCTAATCTTCCTCAAAACAAAAAAAGAATGAATTATATACCTGTGTTCCAAATTGGAACAATCTTAAAGGTCATTGATAGATCAAAGAGGTGCTGTGCATAGGACCTTGTATGAAGTTTGCCACCATTTGAGTAAGGACAAACCCCAAAGTGGAGGGTGGTTGCCACGGGTCAGCAAACTACAGGCCAAATCCAGCCAGTGGCCTGTTTTCTTTCCTTTTTTTTTTATGGCGTGTGAGCTAATAATGGTTTCTGTATTTTTCAAAGGTCATTTAAAAACAAAATAGAATATGTAATAGAAACATAATGGCTCATTAATTTTAAAAGATTTGCTCTCTGACCCTTACACAAAAGGGCCGACTTCTAATAATATATGCTTATTTATGTATGTTTGTATATTGAACAACTTCTGGGGGATGCACAAAAAACTGTTGCTGATGTTGCCTATGGGGAGTTGGTCTTACTTTTATTCTCTACTGTTTTGTCCAGTTTCAGTTTTTTACTCTGTGCTTGTAGTACATATTCATAAGTATGTACATTTTATCATACAAAAAAATAAGTACTGGCCAGAGGAAACAGTTGAGTCAGCAGTTGTCAGTGCAGGTAGCTTTCAGCCCCTGTTGACCAGAAGGGTTGGTGGCCCGGGAGGTAGGCCATGGGAGTCAGTTTTGGTGATTCTGTTTTGTGCTCCACCCTTAGGTGTTTAGAGACCATCTTTGAGGAACCTAAGGAACGAAATGGTACGCTAATCTCAATCAGCCAACAGAAGAGGAAACGAGTTCTAGAATTTCAGGATTTTACGGTCCCACGAAAGAGGAGAGCTCGTGGTAAGGTCAAAGTGGCAGGCAGCTTTACCAGGGCCCAGAAGGCGGCACTGCAGAGTCGAGAGCTGGATGCCCTTTTGATCCAGAAACTAATGGAACTGGAGACCTTCTTTGCCAAGGAAGAGGAACAGGAGCAATCATCTGGTTGTTGAGAAGCAATTCAGTTTGGGGGTATCAATTTTAGATTTTCCAGGCCTCCTTGGAAAAGATTTCCTAATTTTGCCCTACTGCCCAAACCACTCAACATGCAGTCCGTGGATTTTTACCTATTTCAAGGTGCAACCTTTTTAGGAACTGGTGAAGGAGGGTCCTCTACTTCTACTGCTGAGTATAGAACCTCAGGAACGCTCCCTTTCTCCTGGAAATGGTCCTGAGTGACATCTGGCCTCCTCCGCACACTCTCTGCCATCCACAGGAGGAGGCCGCAGCATACCTTCAGAAACACTAGGATTCCAAGGACTCACAGCATTTGCACGTCCATGTGAAAGTTCCGCGTTGTTTACGGTGGTGCTAGACCAAGATTATTTAGAGACGTGGCCTAGGGAGGGGTACCTGGCATCCTGGCCTATATGGTCTCACCGGCTCATTTCAGTAGTTGAGGAATGATGAGCTGTTTGGTTTTCTAATCCTTTGAGTCTGTCTGCCCAGAACCGATGTGTGTGTGTGCGTGTGTGTGTGTGGCTTTTTCCCATCATTTTCTTCCCTCTGTGACTGTGGGTCACTAGTGCCAGAGGAGCCCATCCAGGCCCCATTCGAAGTAAGTTGCACTTTTTAATGTTGTGGTGTTGATTATTTTCCTTTGCTTTCTTTCTTTCTTTCTTTCTTTTTTTTTTTTTTTTGGTATTATTGCTGCATGTTTGGAGCCTTTAAATGTGATTTTAAAACAATTTTTTTCAGACATCATGGAGAAAGACAATACATGTCTTCAGAATATATGATAGGCATTCGACCCAGTTTTTCGGTGCATGGTGTGGGACAATGGACAGACATTTTCCCATTCATGTGTCTCAAGCAGTCCCTTCCCCATCTCCAACTTCTAGTGTAACTCATTAGCAGGAGCACTTTTTTCATCTGGGTTCTTATTCTTACCCACTAAGTAGATGTATCTATTTTAATAACAGAAGTAAGAGCAGGTTTCTCTCCCAGTCATTTAAGAAATATGAAGATTGGGTGTGGTTTTAATGGGTTTTATCTGAAGTGGTCTGTCACAAAGTTGAGAACAACAGCTCGGGCGATGATAAAGTCTGACCCAGAGTGTTTGCAGCTGTCAGAGCAACCTACTCCAAGAGTGGGGAGAGGAGATGGCCGTGGTTCAAACCCAGTGATGCATTCTGGCAGTGCGATCACGAAATTCCACAGCCAGCTCTCTCTGAGGGCACGTCATACTCTGGGCTCCTGTGTCAAACCTGCTGGGAATTTTGTAGAATGCCAGGGTTAGCTGAGCTGCTTCACCTGTGCCTGCAGGAGTCTGTGGGCAGAAGAGTACTGTGTGGGTCAGCAGGCCCAGAGGTTTCATTCCTTTTCCACTTAATCCCTGGGTATCCTCGCCCTGCTTCCCCTCCCTTCCTTCTCTTAGGTTTTATCTTTTTTTCTCTCTCTCTTTCAAAACAAGAGTTCGGAGAATTAACATTCCTTGGCTGGTGAGTGGGGTGCTAAACCCAGCCTCAGGTTACACTGGTCGCCTCTTCCCATTCTCCTAGGAGCCACTGCTGGAAAGCAGCCACCGATGGGAACTGTCAGAGTTCCAGAAACATTTTCAAGTCAGTCTGTTAGAGAAGAGTGAGTGGTGCCCTCCTGGAATGTGTCTCCTAGGTTTCTTTTGCTTCCCCATTTGTTAGTGGGTGGGGAGATGGGGTGGGGGTGGGGGGTCTCTATGTGCCTTTCCTTTGCAGGTTGACAGTCTGTGCCACACTGGAGCAGAAAAACTGACATGAGCAAGAAAAACAAAGTGCCACGTCTGTCTTCTAGGCCCACTGCCTCAGCCATAGCATTTAGTAAGTGAAATACACACCTGGTAATCCATGGAGGCTTCTTAAGGCCATGGCAAAATAGCATTAGAAGAGAGCCATGCTTCCACACTGGCTCTGAATGATGCAAGCTAGATTCTGCCGTTCTGCATCCACTTTGCCCAGACTGTATAGACACGACCTGTGTTTCACCTCAGTACCTCTCCCTTCCTGGGACAGGGTCCTTAGACACTAAATGCTTCTCTCTGTCTTCTTGCTTAAGGGAGTGGGGTGAGTAACACATCGTGCCCTTGTACAAACGTTTTAGGGAGCTCCTGCTGGACAGCTTGCAAGCTCCCAGTGAGTCGACAGAACCCTGTTTGCCAGCTCCATTGCCAGTGTAGACGAGCCAGCAGTGTGGCAGCCGTGTCATCCCGCAGACTAAAGTTGAGGTGGGCACAGCTGTGGTATCACCAACATCACAGAGATACAACTTTAAGTTTGCCCATTGCAGGTGTGGCACTTGTAAGGGCTAGGAGCAGTGATTTGGGACATTGGCATCTGGGAGGGGAGGATTGGAGGAAATGGAGACCTGGGCTCCCTCCTTGTCCTGGGAATGAAGGAGAGAAGCTGCTCTGAGGCCAACCCTTGAAATTCTTGGCCTGCCCTCTGGCTAGGGCCCTTCCCCCACTCCAAAGTTAAGAAGGGGCCCCCCTGCAAACTTGAAATTGCTTACCTGAAGTTGATACATCGGGTTCTGCTCAGCCACACCTGTCTTAACATCCATTTTCACCATTGGCCTAGCCAGCTGCAGTGCTGTCTGTGATCCTCGGAGCCTGTGGTACCTGCCCACGATGGGAGACGTTAGACGGCTGCTGGCACGTCACCTGCCCAGAGCTACAGGAGGTCTGGTTCTGGGGTGGGAGTTGGTACAATTTCTGAGTATGGGGACTTCCTACCCCAAGTGGTGGGGAGTTACAGTTAACCGTAACTTACTCAACTTCAGAGGTTTAGTGTTTTTCATATGGGAAAGAGAGGAGAAATCTCAGGTCCAATCAGGGTTATGCCCATTAGCTTTTTGCTGAAACTTTGAACTATGGTTTTTTGCAGCTTTCAGTTTATGGCTATATTTGCCCCTCCCCCTCCCTCTCCCCCGACCCACCTTCCCCTCCTTCTCTTTTCTTTTGGTTTCCTTTCCAACTTCATTTCTCCTTTAGTTTAAACGTACCTCATCACCTGTTAAAGCAAATTATGTCCACTTTTTCTTACTGACCTTACTCTAAGAGCTACAACTGAGGGAGGTACAGTGAAAGACATGTAGCGTTTGCCTTACTTGGAGCCTGAAGAGCTCAGAAACTCATGCTGTGAATCCCAAAACTCAGCGCCCCTCCAAGAGCTGTGAAAATCATGACACTTTGTCACAATTTTGCCTGAAAGGGTCTTTTGCGTGGGCGCCAGAGCCAACCTGAGGTAAATTCCAGATCCCACCCTCTGGGCACGATGCTTCCCACATGGCTTATTCCCTGCCTGCCAGGCCAAGAGCAGCACAGAGTGTGCAGGACTGGGGCAGCAATCCGAGGCTTTGGTGCAGCTTAATGGAACGCAGAGCCAGTGCTGCGTCTCCAGGCTGGGATTTCATCTCATGATCAATACCATGTCCATTCAGATCCGCGAAAGACCAACCTTTAGGCAGTGATACTTCTCTCCCATTACCTGGGGGGAAAGTATGCAGTTGGTGCTTTCTTAATTCCCTTGTTTTGTTTTGTTTCTATAAGCTTTCCCCCGGTATCATGGAAAGGACCTTTTAAACACCACTCTGTGGGTAGCTGTATCCAAAATCTAAGTAATTGGCCAGACGTGCAGAGTATCCTTTCCTGGGTTCATGCAAGGAAGGGGCTCCTTCCACAGCTGAACTTCTTCCCTAAGAAGCTGGCTGGGGAGGAAGGCTTAACTTTACTAAAATCAAAGTTTAATATTACCATCTAGCCACAAATTGAGCAGCAAAGGCTATTTCGATAGTGAAATGAGGGTCCCCATGTAGCCTGCCATTAAGCACAGCATACCCAGATTTGATGCTTGTTCATTGTGTGTCTTCACAAGCCCCTCTCTGGTGCTGAATTGGATTTGAATTCTTGGTGAGAGGCCTCAGCATCTTTTTGGGCTGGTCTGGGCCAGTAAATAGCTGCCTGAAGTGTTTATATATTATCATGGTCAATAGTTCAGTGAAATTTGTACATTTTTGGTAACATTGGCATACATGATGCCCCTGCAGTTCCTTTTCTGTTTGGTAGTTTGTGACTCTAAAATTCCCACTGTTATGTGTGTTAATTTATGAAAATAAATTTTTTTTTGAAAACCTTTCAGATAACTCTCAAGGCTGTTATTTTATTCCTTTGGCTTGGTAATAAGTTAAAATTTTACCTGTAATGTCATGAGGTTGAGGTTTTTTTAATAGACATTCCAAAGTTGTATATCACAACAAGCATATGCCTTCCAGAGTGGTCACCATTTTCTGAGGACTGTCCTGTGCTTAGAACGTGTGTAGAACTCCCCCTTTGAGTGGCCTTCCGAGTAGTGGCAAATCATCTCTTGTGAAGGAATTTGGTGTTTGGAAACAGCCGAGAGTCATTCAGATCCAGGTCATACCCAATTAAGTTGGGTAGGGTTGCTGAGCAAGCATTTTAGGTGTGATTTTTAAATAGTTCGACTTATTTTCTAACATGGTCAGGAAATCAAAAAGCAGTTATAAATTCAAGTCAAAATGTGTTTCAGACATTGGCAACATGTTTGGAATAAGAGCCTAGCTTGCTAAGGAGACGACTTGGGAGAATATAAATATGGTGTAGTACAATTCATTTTCTTTAAAAAAAGTTTTCGCCTTTTATTACCTATCCTTCCCAGCTGTACATGAGGTTAGGCTGAGTCTTCTGATTCTCAACTCTGTAGTTAACCAATGGAAACTGGTGAAAGAGTGACACTGAAAACATGGCTAACACCACACTGACATGTTCCAGAAAGAGGCCTGATGCCTGAGGATGTTCTTCCTCTGTCCAGAGGGAATCACAGTGCCCAGTTTCCCTTCTTGGCCTTCTTCCAGTTTTTGGACTTCAATAAACAATTCTGTCAATGTAGTCTTTTACATTTGGGGAGGATTCTACCTTCATGATTACTTGGAGAAGAGTACTCTCCTACACATTTCCTTGTTCAGAAGGGAAAGGCTCATTATGAATTAAGACAGTGTTACTCCTTTAGTATCTCCCGTCACAGAAAGTTAGCGTTGGTAGGGCTTCCTGAGAATAAGAGGACTGGTCCAAACTGATTTAAGAATCTTGTACGATGTCCTCTCCTCTTCAAGTGATGGAGACCTCATTTCTACAGTTCTTTTGAGAAGTGTTCTAGAAAATTCCCAATTCTTCCAGCAACTTCCAGGGTCATAGTTGAGTCTTTTATAACACCTTTGTCAAACCTTCCGTGTCATCTCCTTCCTCACTGTCAGCTGATAGCTTTGCTTCACGTTTCTTCAGGAGAGACAAGCAATTTCAATAGAACTTCCACCCCAATCTTTGCAGTTGAACAGACCAGGCATGCTGCTACCTCATGATATGTTCATTTGCTGTCACCTGTGCCCAGAATACCCCCACATTTCTACATGGTTCCTTCAGATCCTTTATTCAGATCTTTGCCTTCCCAGGTCACTTCCTGAGCATATCTCCTCCCATTCTACATCCTCACAATGTTTTATATTTTATATAAAATATATATGTTCATCACTGTAATGTAAGCTCCTTGAGTTCAAGGACTTTGTGTTATTCACTCTGGCCCTTCAGGCATCTAAAACAATGCTTGAAATATGTGGTAGGTGCTCAATAAACACTTCGTGGGTGAGTGAATGGCTGCTTTCATTCATAGACCTTGTTGCTGCCTGACAGGTCTGCCCAAGTCCTCTTCATCCCACCGACTCTGAATATTTGAAGACCTCTTAATTATTCTTCCTTCAATTACTCTTCCAGGGCCCTGGCTGGTGGCTGCCCAGACGCGGAAGGTGGAACTGGGCGCTTTTCTGGTGTTTGGCCCCTCCCAGCTTCTGGTGCAGCCACACCCACTCCTGGCCTCGCGCCGTCTGAGTGGCTGCAGCTCACAGGCTAGGCGGCGCCAGCCACGGGGTAACCCGCCTCTGAAGTCGCGTCAGGTGGGATCGCCGAGCGTAGACGCGGCTCACCCAGGAACCTGCATCCCTGGAGAGGAACGTAATACATGTTGCGGGGGTGGTGAGGGCGGAGGCTCGCGTAGATAGAAATCATCTTGGGAGTTTTTCCTCCCTTTTCTTTTGCCTTTTTAATCTCAGACTCTTGGAGATGGTGAAATGGTCCCTGAAATTGTGCAAACACGCGGGTGCAAATATCACAGGTATTTCAGCAGCGGGTGAGCCTGGGCGCCCCTCGTGTTCTTCCCCTACTGCTGTCTGCCTAAGTAGTCTTTGTAAAAAAACAGTTTCGCGCTTGTCAGAATCACCGCTTAAAATCCCTCCGTGGCTTTCGCCTCACCCCCAAATAAAGGTAGTAACTAGCATTTACTGAGCCCTGACCAAGTGCCATGCATTTTGTGTTAATTACCTCCTCACAACTTGGTGAGGCAGATATTGTTTTTAATCCCCATTTTGTAGATAAGGAAACTGAGGCTTGAAACATTAAGTTATCCACCTGTGTAGTAAGTGGCAGAGCCCCGGTCTACTGACCCAGAGGACCTGTGCTACCAAAGCCGACATCTCCGCCCACGCTTTCCTCTCCAGCCCACTTTCCCTGTGGGCTCCACCGCTCTGAATTTCTTCTGGTTCCTCAAACCCTCCATGCTGTCTCTTCCCTTGAAGCTTTTGCACAAAAGCTGTACCCTTGGCTAGAAATATTCTTTCCCTGACCCCTTCATTTGACTGCCTCCACTTCTCCTTCAGATCTCTGGAGGCTTTCCCCAGCCCCTTCCCTCTCTCCCTCACCACTCCCTCCCCTCTTAGGCACCCCCCCCCCCCCCCCCGCCCCTTAGATGTTTCCTCAGCCCAGGCACTCCCCACCCTCTGAACTGCCTGCCCACTCATCAGGATCCCCCACCACACTGTGAGCTTCAGGAGGCCAAGGTCTTTGTTTGCCATCCCCAGCCCCTTGCACAGCCCAGGCACACAGGCGCACAGTCACTACTTACTGAACAGATCAATGTATCATGGCTCACCTGGGCGCCGTGGGGCACCAAGCTATCAGGCCACTCCTCTGGAAGGTCATGGGCAGGTGGAGGAGACAGACACATGGGTCAGGAACTGAGAGGAGGCAGTCTGGCAAGCTTTATGAAGAGCGCTTTGGGGATAGGTTGAAAGATTTTTTTCAAGAAGTGTAAAAGCTGCAGAAAAGAGCAAAAAACAACATAACAAGCACCCATATTTCCACCACCCAGAATTAACAAGGGTTAACATTTTTCAGTTTACTTCCAGTCATGTTTAAAAGAAATAAAACATTACAGATGTCACCAAAGTCCCAATAAACTATAGTCTCTGTTGCATCCCCCCTCTCTACTCCCTAGAGAAGGCCACGATCAGGTTAGCATCTGTCCCTCAGTGGCCTATCTCCTCTCTGGCTCCATAAACTACGTATGACATCATGGTTTTTTTAAGACACATTTATTCAGTATCGTGATCAGACTATTACATTTAGCAGTTAATAGCATGGGTGAAAAAAAATCTATATTAAAACCCTTTGTTGGAGTGCTTTACTCTTTACACAGAACAGAAACTGAAATAACGTGTTATACAATTAGTCACAAATATAGTCCTCAAGTTTTTTTGCCCATACACATGAATATTGTCTAAAACATGTCTTTGTAGCAGCTATGGCCTGCCACCACGGTGCTTGGCCGAGTTCACAAATCTGTTGTAAATTGTAGCTTTCCTGTCACTTCTCTGGCTCTCCTGTCCTGCTAAGCTTTCTTTCCTGGCAGTAATTTAAACCTTCTGCCGCTGCCATAGCTACTGCTGGAACTGCCATAGTCACTTTGGTGTCGTGGTTTGGCAAAGTAGTGGCTTCCACCACCATAGGGGCCAGAGCTTCTGCCTCCAAAGTTTTCTCTTTCAATGGGTCCAGAATTTGAAGATTGACTGTTGTAATTGCCACAATCATCATATCTTCCACCACCTCCAAAATCATTTCCATCATTACCAAATTTGTTATAGCCATCTCCACTGCCACCATACCCACCACCACCACAGCTTCCTCAACCAAGTCACCTCAACCACAGTCAAAGTTGTCATTCCTGCCAAAACCACCTCCATGATCACCACCAAGTTTTCCAGAACCACTTCAACCTCTTTGGACAAAGCACTAGCCATCTCTTGCTTAGACAGGGCTTTCTTTACTTCACAGTTGTGGCCATTCATAGTATGGTATTTCTGAATGACAGTTTGTCTATGGAGTCATGGTCATTCAAGGTCATGAAGACAAAGCCTCTCTTCTTGCCCCTGTCTTGGTTGGTCATGATTTCAATCACTCCAATTTTCCCAAACTGCTCAAAACAATCTCTTAGGTGATGTTCTTCAGTATCTTCTTTAATGCCACCAATAAAAATCTTTTTCACAATGAACTGGGCATCTAGTCTTTTGTGTGTGTGTGAGGAAGACCAGCCCTGAGCTAACATCTGCTGCCAATCCTCCTCTGGCCGGCACCAGGGCACCCAGTCTTTGAGAATCTTCTCTTGAGACAGCCCTCTTCAGTTTCACAACTCCTCCATCCACCTCATGTGGCCTTGCATTCACACCTCCTCCCCAGTGGCATTCGTGACAAATCCAAAGCCCCCGGAGCACTCAGTGTCTGGACCTCTTCTTACTACACAGTCTGTGAGCCTTCCTCATTGCTCAAAATGACTCCTTAGACTATTGTTGCTTGTTTCATGGCTCAACCCTCCCACGAAGAGCTTCCACAGCTGTTCCAGCTTTTGAGAGACTGACTTTGACATGATGGCAGTGGGAGGGGAGACTTGAATGATGCTTACTCAGTGGTGTCCACAGGCAGAAAGAATAGGTACTTTTTTAGAAAAAGTACACAAATCATATACCTAGTATATATCATTCAGCATCTTGGTTATTTTCAATCGACATTTTCTTTTTGAGATTTGCTCAAGTCGATGTACATAGATCTGGGTTGTTTCTCTTCATTGCTATAGAGCAGACCATCATAGAAAGGTAATTGGAGAACTTCTTCAATAGGGATTCAGAGAGATGGTGCAGTCTGTTGGAGGAGACCTGGAATTGTCTGGAGACCTCCATCTCAGGAAGGCAAAGGCCAAATTGGTTTCTTTTGGGAAAGGATTTTCCAATTAAGGATTATGA